AGCAGGTGTCGGTGCCCCCCTCCATCCTGCGCCCGGGGCAAGCACCCCCCCCGGTTGTTACGCCACTGTATATCTATATATATAGATATATATACAGACACACATACGCACGCACATAGGTTGAATTGGATGGACCTTGATCTTTATTCAACATCACCTACTATGTTATTTTACATATATATTTTAGGCACAATGTATTATATAAAACAAACAATAGGCAATAAGTTTACGCTAACCTTATAAAAGGTAAACTGGGTGTAGCACCCCTCCCTCTGCAGTTGTGTCTCTAATACATAGAAGGTGTTACTGCTAGGCTGTAGTTACCCTGAGCATCCATTTATATATTTTTCAGGGTTCTTCCTTAAGCTCAGTGGGTTGATTGCTTTGACTTGTTACTGCGAAGGAGGTTCTAGTAATCATTGTGGTAAGGACAATCCCTGAGATAGCAATATTTATCTGACCCAGCCAATCCATGAAGAGCTGTTTTCACAGATAAGGCGTGGGAAATCAAATATGTTCGGGAGCACCTTTCCAGAGCTCTTCCCTGTGGCTTCCTCCTGGGAGGAGGCTTGCGTGAACAACTGCTGTCAGGGCCTGGCCTCAGCATGAGCATCGGCTACTTGTTCCAAATACAGGTCAGGATCACAGAACAGATATAAGAACCCAAATTACCAGTGGCTCCTGAGGAAGTTAGCGATACATGTGATTGGTTGTTACGGTTAATTGCTCTTTGTACATCAACATAGCATTTTTGCAGTGCCTCATTTTACAAGCCTGTTTTAGAACAGTTTCTGCAACATCAAGAAAAAATATGAATGCTAAAGTACATATTTAATGTCTGTCCTGTTCAGTATTTGTATATAAATATGATATGAATATTTTGGCAGCAGCGGATCCCTCGATCAGTGTGCAGTGAGAAGTGCATACCAGGATACAGAAAATCTGTCCGTGAAGGACAGCCAGTTTGTTGCTATGATTGCCTACTTTGTCCAGAAGGACACTTTTCCAACCAGACAGGTTAGTCATGATTCTCTCTCTCTATATTTATTTATTTACCATACATTTCCAGCTATAGCGTATTTATCTGGTTTGTGAAAATCCCATAGTGTATAGATTTTGTTTTTGGTTAGGCTACATGAGAAACACAGTTTGGTACAGGGTGCTGTGGCACTTTAGTTTTGCATATAGGCAAATGCATCTCTGACCTCAGCACGGATTGACCCAGCCCCCCTCTGCCCATCAAAGCTATCAAATTAAGTCTTATTATGTGCAGAATACAGGAAGAGCACTACTCTGCCTAGTTATTTGCCCACTTCCTATTTTTAACTGGAGCTAAGAGGGCAGAGCTCATTTCTAATCTGTGGGTGGCAGAGATCTTGGGGCGCAGGTGTCAAAAGCCTTAACTTCTATTCTCCTAATTCAGTTAGTTTCTAACAAGCCATATCTACAGATTATCAGCTCAGGTATCAAGCTAGATATATCCTACATTCTATGTTATGTATAGACCCCTTCTTTTATGGAATGGATTTTACTTTCATAACTACCAAGTGGAGTGGCTGGGTCAATGATATCTTCTAACTGTTCAGGATTGGTAATACACTTGAATCCTGCTGCCTTGTCTTTCTGTGGGCGATCTATTGCTTAACCTCCCTGGCGGTAATCCCGAGCGTGACTTGGGTTTAATTTTTGCTGCCAGGAGCGGTCGGGGTCACGCTCGGGGTAACATTGCAGAGCTGTCAGCGGAGTCTCCTTACCTTCTCCTGGCGATCCAACGATGTCCTCCACTGTGATCGCCGGCGAGAGTGCCGCCGGCATCTGACTTCCTGGTTCCGTTCCCTGCGAGCAGCAGCGGCGCATGGGAGCAGAACTGGGCGGGAAATTCAAGTATAAACACACACACATAAAAGAGGCGATACATTGTAATCTGAGCGATTACACTGTATCACCTCAGATCTGACACTTGATCACTGTACAGTGCCCCTTGCCTGCCATTTTACTGTCATTTGTGCTCATAAAATATTTATAACATGGCATCAAAAAAGCGCCACTTTACTACAAAAGCGCTTTTGGACCAGTTGAGTGACAGTGACACGGAGGTGCTCGCAGAAGTGAGCGATAGTGAGTCGTGGGGAGATTTGTCGTCTGACACTGATCTGGCAAGTGACAACGGCGATGATCCTGCACCTGACCTCAGCGATGTGCGCACTTGGTGCCCTATTGACTGCGATACGGACCAGGTAGCGCCCCCAAGATTCCCGTTCACGGGATCACCTGGGATCAAGGTAGATGTTGAGCGTGACAACCCTCTGGCATACCTGCAATTATTCCTCACTGAGGAGGTAATTGAAAAAATTGTCACGGAGACAAATCGCTACCAAGAGCAGCAATCCGCTACGCTGCATGCCAGGTTTTCCAGAAGCAGAAAGTGGGAACCGGTGACCAAAGAGGACATCTGGCAGTTTCTGGGACTCATCATTCTTCAGGGGGTGGTGGGGAAACCGCTCCAGAAATGGTACTGGACCACCAATAAGTTACTGGCCACTCCGTTTTTTGGCACCGTGATGTCAGAATACCGGTTTTCCCTCATCATGAAGTATTTCCACTTCACGAACAATGAAGAATTTGATGAGGCCACGCATCCTGCGCCCAAACTAAAAAAAATCTGGGAGGTATGCCAAATGATTGTGACCAATTTCCAGCGGACCTACGTGCCAGAAAGGGACGTCAGCGTGGATGAAAGTTTGATGGCCTACAAGGGACACCTAAGCTGGATACAGTACATTGCATCCAAAAGAGTGCGGTTTGGCATCAAATCCTACATGCTCTGCGAGTCATCCACTGGGTACATCTGGAATTCGGTAATTTACACTGGTAAAGCCACGAAGTTCAACCCCAGGTACCGCGGCTATGGGATGGCCACATCATCTGTCCTTACACTGCTGGAGCCATTGCTGAAGCAGGGATATTGTGTGACCACAGACAATTTCTACACGTCTCCGGAACTGTATGAGGTTTTGCTACAAAACAAGACTGATGCATATGGTACTGTTAGGCCTAACCGACGTGACATGCCATCTATGTTTGCCAAGAAAAAACTGAAAACCGGAGAAATGGTTGCCTGGCAGAAGGGTAAGATGATGGCAATGCGATGGCGAGACAAGAAGGGCGATGGCGAGACAAGAAGGACGTGTGTCTTATGAGTACTGTGCACAATACCTCCACTGTCCACAAGATGTGCTGAAGCCGCAAGTCATGATAGACTATAATAACACCATGGGAGGTGTCGACAGAGCCGATCAGGCAATGACATTTTATCCGGCTATGCGCAAACAGCAAAAAAATATTATAAGAAGATCTTCAGGCATCTTCTGGAACAATGCCTTTGGAACGCATATATCCTGCACAGAGCAAAGATTGACAAGCCTCTTGTTCATTCTGAGTTTATCTGGAAGGTGGCTGAACGGATTTTTCTCAACCACCAGACGCCATCAGTAGCTGGGAACAGTCCTGGATGTCGTGCTGTTGACGTTGTCAACCCAGAACGCCTGACTGGTCGTCACTTTATGGACTACATCCCGCCAACCGCAAAAAAGGCAGCACCTACCAGGATGTGCGTAGTTTGCTGCTCAAAGAGAGATGGCAATGGAAAGAAAGTCCGAAAAGAAACCAGGTTCCATTGTCCTGATTGTGACGTCGGACTTTGTGCAGTCCCATGTTTCAAAATTTATCACACTCAGGATGTTTATTGAATTTTCTTTGTTTAACAAATTTCATTATTTTTTATTACATTATTGAATCACATTATATTATTTATTAGATTATAATTCATGATTTTCTGTTTCAAAACTTTATCACTTCTGGGATGTCTACTAAAGTCTTGCTTGGTCAGGTTTAAGTAAGTAATTACTAAGAATTGCAGGCCTACAATACAGAACACCAAATTTCCATGCAAAAAATTGTACCGCTTTTGGCACAAAATTCCTGACATAATCATACCGCCAGTGAGGTTAATGAAGATATACAACTATCAAATATTTATGAAAGTAACAAAAAGAGGTAATTTGATTAGGCCATTGTGTCAGGCCCAGGTATTTAGGTATTTCCTTGAGTGGCTAGACAATCCTAAAGTTTTTTGCACCTCTGCATGGGCTAATGGACTAATTAGCCTGAATCGGTCATGTTTTAATAAACAGCATCAGAATTCATCTTGTACTGGTCTGGTTTTAGTAAAGGGACTACGGATTGGTTGCAAAGGAGTTCTGAACTTTGCATATGGCACTTTTCTACTTGCATTGCTTAGGTGCACAGATGAAGTTTGATGATAGTTAACATTTTATTTCATAAATATCTATAATGTATAGGAAATATAAAGTCATAAACAGAATTTGCTTTATTTTACAGATGTAGACGTGTGCATAAAGTGTCCAGAAGACCAATGGCCTAATGCACAAAAGACAGAATGTTTCAAGAAAGCCATTACATTCCTGTGCTTTGAAGACCCAATAGGAATTGTCCTGGCTTTTTTTGCCATCTTATTTTCACTTATGGCTTCTGTTGTTCTTGGGATCTTTATTAAGTATCAAAATACTCCAATTGTCAAAGCCAACAATCGAGATCTCAGCTTCCTAATTTTAGTATCACTCATGCTCTCTTGCCTTTGCTGTCTGATTTTTATTGAAAAACCAGACCAGGTGACCTGTTTTTTGCGCCAAGCAATTTTTGGAATCACCTTTTCCATTTCTGTATCATCTCTTTTAGGAAAAACATTCATTGTGGTCATAGCCTTTAATGCAACCAAACCTGGGAAAAACTTAAAAAAGTGGGTGGGGACCAAAGTTCCTAAATGTATTGTTTTCTTTTGTACAGTTATTCAGGTCTTTATTTGCATTTTGTGGATCATTATAGCCCCTCCTTTCACCTCATATAACACACAGTCAGAAATGACAAAGATCATCCTAGAATGTGATAAGGGGACGGCCTTTGCTTTCTATGTCATATTGGGATATTTAAGTATCCTGGCATCTGTATGTTTTGTTGTTGCATTTTTGGCACGAAAATTACCTGATACATTTAATGATGCTAAACTGATTACTTTTAGCATGCTTGTGTTCTTCACTGTTTGGGTATTTTTTATTCCTACATACCTCAGTGCCAAAGGGACCTCTACAGTGGCAGTTGAGGTATTTGCCATCTTGGCCTCCAGTTCTGGGATTTTGGGCTCGATATTTGCTCCTAAGTGTTATATTATTTTAATTAAACCTCAGACAAACAGGAAAAACTTTTTATTGAAAGGTTCTCTATAGTGTGATTATATTTGTTAATAAAGACAATAAAAATGTTAACATATAAAAATTAAAGTATGTTACTATGACCTCATTGTTCATTGTTAAACTGAATATCTCAACCAGCCTTTCTAGACAGCTTTTCTCAACAGGGGTACTGCAGTGCTGTGTAAAAAAAAAAAAAGTCAACCAACTGGTCTGTGGATCAAGGGTAGCTTTTTTTGTCAAACTTAAAAGAGAGCTATGGGGTAACCTTTTTATCCCATAGCTCTCTTGAGGGTCATGGGAGGACATATACTAACCTCCTCCCATGACCCACAGCTCAGTAAATAGCGGGCTATTGCCGCAGCCGGGACGGATCCCGACAATACTGTCGAGATCCATCCAGCTCGCTGATTGACAGTGGGCTCTGCCTATCTAGAGGCAGAGCCAGCTGTGCCCGCCCCCCTCCCATCTGTTCCTCCAGTCAGCGCTGGCAGATCAGAGAGGGGAGGAATCCTTGTGTGGCGCAATGACTGACAGTAACCACTCTCTGCAGGGAGATAATCGGGAGGTGAGCGATCAACGTTATGTGTTTGCTCACTTCCCGATCAATAGAGCTGTTGTGTGACAGTTTAATTGTCACACGTCAGCTCTAACTGTAAGTGTAAATCACTCACCTCATAGTTCTCCTTTAAGTCACTGATTGCTGGTATGCTATGTTATGCTTCCAAACAACAAAGTACTCTGTGCGGGCTGGCCACCAGTGTCCCAGTAACTGATTATGTCATAGTTTGATACGGAACCTGTGGGCGGCGCGAACAGCATCCTGCTTGCCCCTACCCCTTTCCGTCAATGCCAGAAGGCCCATGCTGAGTTGTTAGTGGAGGATCACCACATAGAAACTAGCAGAACTACCCTGGACTGAAGATTACTAAATTCTGTAAGGACACATGCACATAAGCAAATAGGGGCATACACCGCAGGGATCAAAATATACCAGAGGGCTCCTGACTTGAAGGATTTTTTGTTTTTTTGCATGGGGTCCATGCATACACTATCTAGTTTAAGGGTCTGAAATAGATTTTTACATTTACAATTTCTACATTTCAGACTGGGGTGCTTAGAGATTTTGCATACTTTTAAGCTGTGCCATGATGGAAAAAAAGATAAGAAAAACAGCACTAAATCACCACAACAGCTTTGTTGTAAGTGACAGGACTACATACATTTCAATTAAATTAAAATGTATTTGAGTTATGGGAAGAAAAGATAAATAGAAAGTGCAACAACTTTTCTTGCGTACATACTAAGACATTTATTTTTTTTGTTGCTTATTGCATGGGTTGACCAAATGAGCCCATTTTCTAGGGTTTACTTTAAATGTAGCCTCACTGATCATTTGGCTAGGAATAAAAATTCACTTCACTACTGGCAATAAAACCATAAAACTATTCTCATTTTAGTAGCAGAATGTGTAGTTGCTAGCAGGAGCATTCTATTTCTGTGATCTAACAAGAAAAATAGGTTATAAGAGAATGTGAACAAAATTAGATCGATAGATTGGCAGTAGTGAAAAACAAACAAACTGGTAGATATACATACTGGAGTCAAGACATCACTGAGTACATGGTGGTAGTGTTGTGATGGACTTACTGGCAGACATGTGCGATTTGTTTTGGAAAAATTTGTTTTTCTGACAAATTTTCGTTATTTGGACATTCGGATGTATCCGAATTTCCAAATAACAGAAATTACAAATGAAAACTAATCCGAATTTCCGAAAATGAAACTTCGGATTAAATTCTTTAGCGGTAGTCTGTACATATTTTCGTTTGTGGACGAATTTTCGTTGCAGCAAAGTGACATTTAAAAAAAATAAAAATAAATGTCTCTCTGCTGCAACAAAACGAACACGAAACGGAAACAAACTTTTGTACAGACTATCGCTAGCGTATCTCGTCCGAATCCCGAAACAAATTGACTTTCGGACCCAAATACTGAAAAACAAAATAACTCAAAATCCGAATCAAAACAAATTTTTGCCGGTGCACATGTCTACTTACTGGAATATTGTTGCTCCACTAATGTGGATGACATGGTGATACAGACAAGAACACAAAGTAAAAACATAAACAATATAGTTTGCATTGTGTAATGGCTAACATAAATAATAAAAAGTTTTGTTGGCTGACATGATCAACTGCAGTGACATGCTGAAAATTAGGCCTACCTGCTTTAGATATTTATGCAACATATGTGATATTATATTTAAAAGTAAATCAGAGTGGATGATGCAGAAAATCGAATGCGCAGATATAATGTCCGTGTCGTTGGGTTGCGGTAAGGAGCTGAAGGCTTGCAACCTGCCCAGTTTGTGGAATCCTTCTTAAAATCAGTTCTCACTTTGGATGTGTTGCCACCGACATTTATTGTTGAAAGGGCGCACAAAGGTTTTAGCTACTCCTCTATTTAAAATCATTGGGTCCATTGTGAATATAGATCAAACCAGGTTTATCCCATGTAAATCTACAGACACAAGCTCATTTTTGTAGGTTATTTGTGAGGTTGCAGATATCTCAAGACAATGTGGGGACTAGAGCTGTAGTGTCGTTAGACATAAAAAGGGCATTCAACTCAATAGACTGGGGGTATATGTGAGAGGTGTTGCGAAGAATGAGGTTTGGGCTCAATTTATACTGAAGGATAAAATGACCATACAATGAACCTCGGGTAGCCTTGAAGAGATGAACTGCTCTTTCTGAGCCTTCTCCAACAGTTAGGGGCACCCGTCAGGGTTGCTCATTATCACCTGGGTTATTTTCACTTATGATAGAAAACCTCACAGCAATAGCCAGAGGTTCCATGTCCTTAAAGGCATTCAAGGTAGGAGACATAGGAGGAGTGTCTTGCTCTCTATACTGATGATTTGATCCTTTTTCTTGTAGATGTGGGCCCGTCCTTTGGGAAGTGATGATAATCCTTATTGCATTTGGAGAGTGCTCCAGATTGCAAACTAATTGGACAGAACCCCCTATCCTGACATTGGATCTATGGGCAGAGGTCACAGCTGATGTTATCCTCCCCCTACAGTGGGTTGGGAAGATGACTTACCTGGGGTCAAAATTACCAAAACCATTTTGGATTTTTAACCTCTAAATTTGTTACCTTTGCTTACGATGTTTTCAGATCAGTGACATGAAAACATTTGCTTTTGTCTCTTACAGTCAATCTTATTAAAACTAAACATATTAATATATCCTCCGGAATTCCCGTTAGTTTCAAACTAATTTTTCTCCTAAGTGAACCAATTATTTAGTAAATTTTTATCGGGCTCAGCTGTTCCACTAATTAAACTCTTACAAGAGCCATGGATTCAGAGAGGGTTAGGCCCTCCCGGAACTCAGGAAGTATTATCTTGCTGGTCAGATGATTGTTGTAAATAAATGGTTGAAGTGGGATAATGGGGATGCTGCAGTGGTAGTGGAGGCTGCTAGCCTAGATTCCTATGAAGCCCTCTCCTGTCTGATTTATAGGGGCACAGTATGTGTTAACAGATTTAATGAAAGCTACCCGTCTTGCGTGGAGGCAAATCTGTAAGCTCTTATATTCCAATTTGACTGCCTGGTCACCGCATACACCTCTGTGGAAGAATCCATATTTGAACCAATTTTCTTTTATTTCAAACAAAGTCACTGGCGCCAAATTTTATTTTTAAAGGGTAGATACACTGCGACTCTTCACAGCAGGGGAGCACTTGAAACAGTCAAGGTGTGTGAAGCTCTAGCACACAGAAAACATAAAAAACAGTGCGCCTCGCTAGTGTATAAAGCTGGAGCAAACATCCTACTGCTGGTATGGCAAACAAGGTAACGCGTTTCTAGGGCGATGCCCCCTTCATCAGACCTCCTGTTCCTGCTGTGATTGACATTGCACACTTTCACATCACAGATGTTCCTCTGTTACTACAGGCTTGTTTACACTGGCTGTTTGTGAGTACATTCTTGCTTTTAATCTCCACTTAATAACACTTTTAACACTGTTTTTTTATGCATTTTTTTTTATTTGCCTGATTATCATATCTAGCCTCAAATGGGTATTAAGACTATGGGAGATGTAACACGTGCTGCCTCACTTATGAGTTTTGATGAATTAAAGGCCTAATGTTTATTTCTTCTGCTACCTTCAGATTAGGCATGCCTTTCTATATTCGGTTTGGTGGATTACTCTGTAATTTAGCTTAAGGAAACCTCTTTCGGAAGTATACCATGTTTTATTTAGTAAGTCTTAGGTACAGTGGCTTCCATGTGAAAATAAGTGAGTCATGGATATTCCTACTCTTGACTGGGAGGATGCCTGGGATTACCCATTTTCACATCCAATCTCACCCACGGATTGACATATACAATTCAAAATACTTCACAGAATATATTATACTACTGCCAGGTTGGCTACCATTTAACAGGTTGTCTCTTCTACCTCATATAATTTCTAGGACTGCCTGGTTATAGGTCATTTTCAGATGGAGGTTACCCTTTTGTATTGTTGTAAGCCTTCCCAATGTGCGCCCTGCTATAATGTCCGGTTATAGATTCATGCATGTACCATTTTTTTCTAGGTTACCCACTTTATCTGCCAAGTGATGGATTTAGTGGTTAGCTCGGATGTTAACTTACCTCCTCGGTCTGACAGAGTGCAGATGTTTTTGCAGTAATTGTGTTGTAATGTTTCTGTAGTTTCTGTATTCTCTTGTAAAACTGCATAAAAAGAACAGTTAGACATGCAAATCAGAGTGATTTTTGCATCATCCACTTTTCTCTACTGTACTCACCAACCTCCCTCTAAACTACCCTGATAATATTCTTGTTGTTTGAAGTACCAATGATTCAGCACAGACATCACATCTAAAAAATATGACAGGTGATTGGCATATTTTAGTACTAATTTGCAAAAGGCAGCATTGAAGGGAAAGAAAAGCCAACCAACATTGAATAAATACTGCCATAAATGGTAATGTGTCACCTAACAACTGCATCTATCAA